GGGGGGCCGGCGGAAAAAACAAAAAAAACGGCGGCGGTTCCCACGGCGGAAGGCGCGTGGAAGCTGAGGGAAGTAAAGGTGCACCCTCGAATGGCAACAGTGGTCGATAGCGTGTCGCGCCGCCCGGTGGCTTTGCTGACCGGGTGCGCTTCATGCCCCCGCACGCCGTGCTCCGCTGCCTGGCGCGCCGCTGCCTGGGTCAGTTCCTGAAGGGCGGTTTGCTTGAACAGCGGCGCCCTGGCCCTGCGCCCGCTTTGCTGCATTCAGCCACGTCCGTGGTCACCAGTCGGCTTTCTACATGGGCAGCTCCCGCCTGGTGCAGCCACCTGCACCTACGGCATCGCGCTGGGCTGCTCTTCCGTCGTGGACCTGCGCCACTGTCCTCGTGTTGGCACATCCTGCGTTTCGCGAGGGGCTGCCCGCGCTGCTACCCCGCGGTGTGGCCGCGATGCCGCCCCGCGCCTGATGGAGTTCTGGCTGGCCGCCCCGGCTGCTCCACGGCGATGCGCCTCGCCCTGTGAGTGCCCTCCGCTTTCCCTCCCTTCCTGCTGCCCCCACCCCCCACCCGCTCGATCGCGCGTGCGGACTGGGGCTGCCTCTGCCGCGCTGCGACGCAAAAAGTCGCGCCGCCAGTTCTGGCCCACCACGCTTCGGCGCGTCACGCTATCCACGTCCCTGTTCCGAGAGCAGACGCTCCGAGCCGTTCCCAGTCTCCCGCCCCGCGGAGCGGAGCAACGCGCCATCCGCTCGCCAGGCATGGCGTGTCGCCCGGGCCGCCGCTGCGACATGGTGAGCAAGCGTTCGCGACCGTAGCCGTGCTCCGCGCCGTGCTCCTTCGGTTGCCCCCACCGCGTCTGGGCTCTAAGTCGGCGCGACCAAAAGTCAGGAGGGGAAAAAACACACAGACACAGTTCATCGTCGCTTCCCCAGAAGAAATAGGAAACGATGGGAAGCGGGGGGGAAGACAAAGACCAAGACATAAATGCGAAAATATCGGGAGTCCTGCTATTTGTGTCTATTTATTTGCGTGTCCCAGGGCCCCTTCAAAAAGGATGCGGCCTTGTGCAGCATGGGGTCTGGGCCGGCGACACCTACGCGCCCTGCCCTGCGCCGGAGGCGGCCCCGCCCTGCACGCCCTTCGCCCTTCGCCGTCCACCATGGCGTCGCGTGCGGCGCTCCGAGCGCCTCCCGTGTCGGGGAGGAGGCACGCCCTTCCAAGAAACAGACTACAGCAAGCAGAGACTTTCGGACATCCGCGCGGACTCTGTTGGGGATCTGCGTGGGCCCCCCCCCTGGGGTCGCCTCCGGCGCCGCCCCTGGCGCCGCCCCCGGCGCGCTCCGCGCTTCGGGGAAGCGGATCCAGATCCGCGCGGAGTTGTGAGAATTCTTGTCGATGCAGGTCCTTGTTCCTCGAGCTCTGCAGGAGGAACCTCGGTCGACCGCTTCGGTGGTCGGACCCCCGAGATGCTCCGCCCGAGTCGGCCCTCCACGGATGCGGAACGCATGCCAATGTCAGCCAGGGGAATGCCATCCCCCGAGATGAGGAGGGAGGAAACGGAGGAGGAGGAGAAGGAGGAGGAGGAGGAGGAGAAGGAGGAGGAGGAGGAGGAGGGACGAGAGGCAAGATTCCACGCGCAGTGAAAACAGGGGCGGCTCCCAGCGACTGTTCTCTCTATGACGCCGCACAGCCTCCATAGCTGCTGGTGCCGCTGTTGCTCACTGGGGTGCGTAGTCGGCCCGCGCCTCGGCCGGTCTTGGGAGGGCCATATCGGAGGGCACGGCCCCAGCCTCTGTGGCCCTCCCCTCTGGCTGGGGCTTTGCCCGGGAGGACGCGGAGGATGCGGAGGAGGGGGAGGAGGAGGGAGGAGGAGGAGGAGGAGGAAAAGGAGGAGGAGGAGCAGGAGGAGGAGGTGGAGGGGAGGGGGAGGGGGAGGGGGAGGAGGAGGAGGAGGAGGAGATGGAGGAGGAGGAGGAGGAGGAGGAGGAGGAGGAGGAGGAGGAGGAGGAGGAGGAGGAGGAGGGGAGGAGGGAAGGAGGGGAGGAGGGAGGAGGGGAGGGGGAGGGGGAGGGGGAGGGGAGGGGGGAGGAGGAGGAGGAGGAGGAGGAGGAGGAGGAGGAGAGGAGGAGGAGGAGGAGGAGGAGGAGGAGGAGGAGGAGGAGGAGGAGGAGGAGGAAGAGAGGGTTTGGCCTGAGCACAGGGATGTTGCTCGGCCCGATCCCGTCGTGGTCGCTGCCCGCGAGCCGCGACATCTTGCACCGCGCGATATCTGGTTTCTAGGCTGGCCACGGCGGGACCAGTCGAGGGGGTGAAACATCGCAGGGCAAGGGCCTATCGATCACACGCCAGATCCTGTGTTCGTCTGCATCAGGCATACGTGAAGTTGAGGGCCCATCGTCAAACCCAACAGCTGCTGCCCGAATTAAGAAGCAAGCGCGTCTGTCACAAGAAGTGGTTGCACAATGTAACTTCCGACATGGGATTGCTCGAGGTGCGGTTGCTGTATCAGACACCATGCTCGTTGCATTTTCTGTCAACAGTACCATTCGTTCACTGCGTTCACGTCAAGATGGCTGGGCCCCAGGAGAGGCGCCAGTCGCTCGAGGCTCCAGGCGCCACAGTTCAGCGAGAGAGATGTTCGAACACGACTCGCGAGAGCCCCACCCACGACCGAGGAGGAGGCGGCCGCAGCCGACGCGTGTGAGTCGCAGACGGCGCCGGCGGGTCCCCCGCCCCCCTCCCATTGACGACCCCTGACCCACGTCGTCCCGCCGCCCACCTCCACGACCCACGACGACCCCCAGTGCCGCGACGACCCACGACGACCTCCCGGACCCCGCCCGCCCCGCCCGACGCCCAGCGGGCCCTGCTTCCTCGGCCCCCAGACCCCCACACGCACGACGACCCCCGACCCACGACGACCCACGACGACCCACGACGACCCCCGGACTGCCGCCGACGCCCCCCGCCCCCCCCCCCGCCCCCGGCCGCCCCCAACGTGCGTGCTTGCCTGCTGCCTTTGCCCCCCCCCTCTCTCCATTTTTTGGCGTCTGCTCGCCGTGTTTTCCTCTTCCCTCCTCCTCCCCCTCCTCCTCCTCCCTCCTCCTCCTCCTCCTCCTCCTCTCTTCCTCCTCCTCATCCTCATCCTCCTCCTCCTCCTCCTCCTCATCCCCCCCTCCATGCATGGCGCGGGCGCCCGCGCCTAACGGCGGGGTCTGGTGGCTCACGCCCCGCGGCCGCGTCCTCGCCCCGTGCGCTCGCGCCGCGCGTGGTGCGCAGCGGTCGTTTCCCCCCTCGTCCTCGTCCTCTTCCTCCTCTTTCCCCTTTCTTCCTGCCTCCTCTCTGCGCTGCAGCGCCGCCGCCTTGTGCGCGCCCGCCCGCGAAGGCAGCCAGGCGCGGCCATCAGAGGCTTGTTTTCCTCCGGCTTGGGTCAGGGGCTGCGACGCACTTGCCAGTGGAGCTTTCTCCTCCTTTCCCTCCTCATTCTCATGGCGTGTCTTTGCTGTCGCCGTTCGTTGCTTTTCAGCTCCCGAATTCAGGTTTGCGCCCGCTCTTTGACGGGGCACCGAACAGCGGAGAAATGCTTTAAGTTGCCGCCAGGTGACGACATGCACGCCTTCGGCATGGAACGCAAGCGCCAAATCAACGACCCCGCGCTTCCGGCCATGACAGTACGCCGTGCTCGAGAGATCCAGTTTGCACAATGCCACGACAGGAAGATAGCGTTTCACAAGAGCATGATGCAAGCCACGATACCTTTCAGGCAGCACATCGGAGAGTACAGAGACGACCTCCAGGGTGTGCTCGAGCGCCTGCGGGCGACCCAGAGTCGCACCAAGGATTTAGAGGCCCAGGAAACAGAGAACGACAACGACATCGCCCAGCGCCAGTCTTGCATCCGGGAGTCCGAGGACTTCGCCACGCAGGAAGTCACGATGTTGCCCGCCCATGCCTGCACGACCAGGCCAACTTCCAGGCCCGCCAGGTAGACCACCGCCGCCGCCGTCGCAGCAGGCCTACTGGCCGCAAGCGGCGCTAGTGGAGCCAGCGGTGCATGGTCAAGTCCAGGCGCCTGGGCAACAACAGCGTGCGCAGCGACCTGGCCAGTAGCAGCAGGCCTACACAGCGCCGGGGAACGACCCCATGCTGTGATCTC